TCTTTCAAACAAGCAGCGTCTGGCCTCAGCATACCCCTCGCCTCTCACTAAGTGGCCCAGGGCGGGTAGTAGTGGTAAACGGCCTTGGTTTGCAATTTGGCTTCTAACAACCTCCAAGTCCAGCATAAATAGCAGCCCTCTACAGATTGCTTTTTTTTTTTTTTTTTTAAATATGTTTTTATTGATTTTTTAGAGAGAGAAAGAGAGAGAGAGAAACATGGATATGAGAGAGGTACATCGATTGGCTGCCTCCTGCACATCCCCTACTGGGGATTGAACTTGCAACCTGGGCATGTACCCTGACCAGGAATTGAACTGGAACCTCTCAGTTCATGGGACAATGCTCAATCCACTGAGCCACACCAGCTGGGCTGCAGATTGCTTTTTAGCTCATGTTGGGTGGCTTCAGGCAGAACACAGGCAGTAGCTGACCTTGATCTGCACCTCCTAGGAGGACCCAGAGCCGGCATACACAGTGGACATTTTTAGATCATATGGAAGAAACACCCAACCACTTCCACAAGCAACATGCCCAAGGGGCACTGGAACCCCACTAAAGTATGTCCTGCTCAGTGAGGTGATCCTCCACTGTGCTCAAAGCCAGTCCTTGAAGCCAACTGTTCTGAGGGTAGATCCCTCCCACTGATGTGTCAACAGCAATCAAGGCTCAACTACAACAGGATGGTGTACACAACCCACTGTGTCAGTGGGGGGAGGTATGCTTGGAATGCTTAGCTGGGGTAATTGGGAAGGCTGTAACACTGGACCCTACAAGACACGTACTACACAGGACCACTCTATCAAGCCCAAGAAACATAACAGTTTTACCTAATACATAGAAACAAACACAGGGTGGCAGCCAAAATGAGGAAACAAAGAAATATGTCCCAGATAAAAACAGAACAAAACTCCAGAAAAAGAACTAAACAAAATGGAGACAAGCAGTCTACTAGAGGCAGAGTTCAAAACACTGGTTGTAAGGATACTCAAGGAATATAGGGGAAGAGTAGATGACTTAGTGAGAACTTCAACAAAGAGATAGGTAACAAAAAATAGAACTAGAAAACATAAAAGAGACCCAGTCAGAAATGAATAATACATTAGCTGAAATGAAGACTACATAAGGAATCAGCAATGGAGTAGATGAAGTAGAGGATCAAACCATTGATTTGGAAGATAAGGAAGCAGAAAACACCAATCATAATAGCAAAAAGAAAAAAGAATAAAAAAAGTGAGGGTCGTTTGAAGAGCCTCTGGGACCTTCAAGTGTGCCAACATGCACAGCATGGAGGTGCAGAAGCGGAAGAGCGAGCGCATGGGATTGAAAGCCTATGTGAAAAAATAATGACAAAGAAATTTTCTTAATCTGGTGAAGAAACTAGACACACAAGTCCAAGAAGCCCAGAGAGCCCCAAACAAGATGAACCCAAAGAGGCCCACACTAGGACACATCCTAATTAAAATGCCTAAAGTTACAGACAAAAATAGGATCTTAAAAGGAGCAAGAGAAAAGCATTAGTTACTTACAAGGGAGCTCCCATAAGACTGCCAGTTGGTTTTTCAACAGAAACATTTCAGGCCAGAAGACATTGACAAGAAATATTCAAAGTAATGAAAAGAAAGGACCTACAACCAAGATTACTCTACTCAGCCAAGCTGTCATTTAGAATTGAAGGACAGATAAAGAACTACCCAGACAAGAAGAAACTGAAGGATTTCATTACCACCAACCAGTATTACGTGAAATGTTCAAGGGTCTTTTTTAAGAAGAATAAAATAATATAAAAAACAAGGGTACTAAAATGGTAATAAATATCTATACATATCTATAGACAATATAATCTTTAAACAAAAATGAAATAAATGAACAAGTCAAACAGAAACAGACTCATAGATACAGAGAACATTTTGATGGTTGCCAGATGGAAGGTGGGTTGGGGAGATGGTTGAAACGGGATGGGATTAAGATGTGCTAATTGGTAGTTACAGAATAGTCACAGGGATGTAATGTACAGCACAGCGAATAGATTCAATAACATTATGATAAACACGTATGGTGTCGGATACTAGATTTATAGAGATGATCTCTGAGTAAGGTATATAATGTGTTATCACTGGGGTGTACACCGGAAACTAATATAATATTGTGTGTCAACTGTAATTAAAAAATAAAAAATAATTTAAAGTAAAAAAAGAGAGAGAGAGGGAGAACTGGATAGTGATGTGGGAAGGAGAAGAGAGCCAGAGTGGGACGGCCACCTGGTGCTCTGGCCTGCCAGCTCACGGAGCAGGTTCTGCTCTTCGGCTGTTTCCATCTGTAGGGTAATTAGAGAATGTATCTCCAATTAGACAGACACTTCCTGTGACCTCTGTGTGCACTTTCTTCCCTACTGTGCCTGATGCCAGCAGGGCGCTGGGCCCCTTGGGACTATTTACACACTATTTGTTGAACTCTTTACTGACTCCCAGCCTGAAGAGTCGATAGTCTGCAAAAGCAGTCTTATATGTTATCCAGATGTACTATGCAAATGAAGCTAAAATGTGAAGACCTGAAGCTGGCTACGTCCTCTAATATCCCTGAGAATTAAAATGTGTATCCCCAGGAAATACCAGACAGAGCCTCTATCTCATTAGAGGGATCCCTATGGTTAGGACCTAAGCTCTGGCCTTTAGGAGAAGGTGGGTGGCCAGGATGAGCAGCCTCTGAGTTCTCCCCTTTACCCCCCAAGTATTTGGGTCTGTGGGAAAGACTGGCTGCTAGGGAGCTGGCTGCAAACACAGGAGGGCCTTCTATCTGGGCTGTTCTGAGCAGGTGGGGCATGCTGCCCATTACCATGGAGGTGAGCCTGCAGCCTTGTCCCATGCTCTCCCTGAGCTGCTTCGAGAGACACCCGAAGGCTGGGCACAAGCACGCCAGTAGCTGTTCTGAGGAGCCCTGCAGACCTCTGCTCTGATTTTGCAAGTATTCCTCCCCGATGGTTTCTCGGGGATGCTCGAGGAAGCTCTACCATGTCTTACCTCTCTACCTCCAGGAGCAGCTCTTAATCCACCCCTTACTGTCCATTTGCACTGTTGTTGCCTTGGCTAAGACCTCATCATCCGGCCTCCTGGGGTTGTGTAAGCAGTAAGTCTCACCAGTGCTGCGTCCAGCCCTGTCCCCTCTCAGCTCCTATCATCCACCACCAGAGCCTCTGCATGTGCACCTCCAGCCAGTCACGCCCACGCCGAAGCCACTCATGGTCTGTCATGGCCACAGCAGTGATTTTCATTCCTGGCTCCATATTAGAATCACCAGGGGTTAGGGGCTTTTTGAAAATGCAGATGCCTAGGGCTCTATCCTCAGAGATTCTGATAGAGCTGGCTTGGGTATAGCACCCAGCAGAATCTTGTGTGGAAGGGCATCGTGGAAACGCCTTTCCTAGCCGGGCACCCGAGGACCCTGGGTGGGGCTCCTCCTCTCACCTGCCTTCCTGTGCTCTCTCTCGCGTCTCCCTGGGCCATTGCTTCTTTGGGCTCTGGCCCCTGGAATTCTTGCTCTCAGAGCAGCAAACTCTTGCTCATTTTTCGAAGCACCCCTAAACTGTTGCCACCTCTCTTGTGAAGCCTTTTCAGGATCCTCACACACAGTTGGTTAGGTATTTCTTCTTTCTTCACTGCCCCACATTGACTGTTCCCCAGAACTGCACGTGTTCACTGTCTACCCCACCAGCCCAGAGCACTCAAAGGACAGGGCTCTTATCCACTTTGCATACGTCTCTTCCCTTAACGACAGCCTGCCCCAGGAGAGACCATGTGATGTCCGTGTCCACACTCGGTGCAGTGCCCGTCTTGTAGCGGCTGTTCTGTCCCTTTGTTTTGACAAACACTGCTTCCTTATGCTACGCTATTCACTGTTTACAATGTGCTGCTGGGCTAACTTGTGTAGTTCTCACGAGAGCCTCTACGTGTAACCATTGTCCCCATTTGCAGGAGAGGAAACTGAGGCACAGTAGATGAAGACTACCACCACACAGCGGGATAGGATACATGTCCAATGAGCAAAGGCATGTGTGGCCCTCTGCTCTTGTCACAGACACATCGTTGTGACGGGGATCATTACAGGACTGTTTTCTTCCCTTTTGTAGCAACAAAGCCATCACAGATGACAGACTTTTGGAGGAAATAACTAATACCCTCATGGCTAATTTCGAGCACAGTTTCCTCTGGAAGGTCAGCCAGCCATATATTGTGCACCCAAGATATCTGAGCCCAAAGAACAAGGGAGACATGAAATTTTAATCAACACCTACTCTGCCTCTGGCTGCCCCAGGCACGTTCCTGCCGGATCACAGGCGATCCCCTTAGCAAGGACACAGAGTACAAATGACGATATTCCAGACTATAAAACCGAAGCTTCCTGAAGGGAGCTCACGTAGCCAGTGTCACGCAGAGAGTTCGGGGAGAAGGGCATTGACTCGCCTGTTATCTGTCTTCAACAGCAAACTGCCTCTGCCCGGCACGCCACTGGCCTCCGGCTTCCCTCTTCTCCTTTGCCTTTAAATGTACTTTATTCTTTCTGAAAAAATGATCTAAGCCATTAGTAGAAAAATGTAAGACAACAAAAATTGTCTGCAATCTGATCACCCAGAGATAAAAAGCACGAGGAACATTTTGACAGTTTTTTTTGTTTTCTGTTTTCTTTTTAACATTTTGCTCTGTAGTCATATCTCAAGAGATCAGTTAATGGGTTCCGTGCCTTTGGTTGTAGTTTACATACAAATCTGTGTTTTCCCATGTGTTGTTCAAGCAAGGAGCTGACGTTCAGCCGCTTGAAAAGAAAAGAATTACTCGGAAAAACGAGAAAGAAAAGTGCCTCTTGGGAAGCAGCTGAGGGGTTGATTTGGGCAGAGGATGAGTGGCGACCATCTGAGAGTGCTGGGGACCACAGCAGGGAGGACGGGGACCCCCCCCCCCGGGGCTCCGGCCATTCATTCCACCTGCTCTTCCTGTCTCCTTTGCAGGCAGTGACCTGAACGATGGCCTGTGGCATTCGGTCAGCATCAACGCCAGGAGGACCCGCGTCACTCTCACCCTGGATAACGATGCTGCGTCCCCCACTCAGGACACCACCCGGATACAGATTTATTCTGGAAATAGCTACTACTTTGGAGGTAAATTACGCAGCTTGGAGGTTGAAAATAAAAGAGGGAAGGAGAATGTATTGGGCAATTGTTTTAGTAGGATGATTCTTTCTTTGTTAATCAGACCACTCTTTCAAAACACAGGCACCCCTCCCCAAACACACACAGAGGCGCAGACACTCCCCCCCAAGCCCAAAGTGATGGGAAGCCAGCTCTCTCACAGCTGTGCAGATATAAATGATCTAGGTCAGTGCGGAGGGAAAAAGAACTACGGCTGTGAGACTGCTGTTACGTAACATCCACGCGAGATTTTTATAGCCATGCCAAGCTCCGCGATCCCATTTGAAAGGGGAAACTCAGCTGAAAACTCGGAGAGAGTACCAGCAGTCAGCAGTGCCCGAAAGAGGAAGTATGCAGGTGAGGAGATGCTCACCCACCGAGGCTACTGCTCTGGCGCTCTGCTGTGCCAGTCTCCAATACCCACGAGGGGCAAATTCCAAAGCCCCTGAACATGTATCTCCATTCAGAGCCGCCCAAGACCCCACCCTCTCCAATACTCCTGGAATCATTTCTCACTCCAAAAACACAGGGTAAATAGGTCCATGTAAAAACAACAACAACATATAATTAGGCACTGATTGCATTTTTATAGATGCATATATTTTTTTATTCATCTTTTTCAAGAAATGTGCTTCATTAAGAAAAATGATTCCTAATGTCCTGGTCATTTGTTTATATTTGAGAAGCAATCTCTAAGGAGTGTTGGTCTCAGTGGCTGCCTGGCAACGCTCCAGACCTGGGGTCTCTGAACCTCTGCCTCTGGGCCATGGGAAACACAGCCGAGGGCTGGGAGAGCTCCCTGAGGCCAAGGGCTACATGCAGAGCTCAAGGCTTCCTACCCGGCGAGGAATGGACAGACTGACTGCTGACTTTGTAAACATAGGATGGACTGGGGCTGGTCTACGGTCATCGATCTTTCTTCCATTAGGAGACTGAAGATAAATTGTGTGCAAAATTATCAAGTGCCATCTCTAATAGAATTTACAAATCCCTTCTCTCAGACCAGTGACATGGGGTTAAACTTTAAAACACAAGAGGAATATATACATTGGGGTGTCCCAAGAGGGAAGCAGTGTGGAGCCATCTGTTTGCGGTCTGATGTCGGGGCCCTGGAAAGGGGCTCCGTCCTTCACGCCCAATCTTCTCTATGTGTGCATACCACTCCTTTAAGAAGGAGCATTTCCATGCTCTGTAGGGTCCATGCACGCAGTAACTTTCCGAAGCAGGTAATAGTAGCCCCGATTCAGAGAAAGTAAGACTGGTGTTTGCTTAGATGGAATACTTTGTGTGACTAGTAGAGCTGGGATTCACCCCAGATCCGTGTCCCCCCCAATGCACAGCAAGCAAAGCAAAGACTAAAAATGTAGCAAAAAATCTGTGGAAGGAAGGTCCTGGTGCCCCAAAGATATATATCCCAGATCCTGGTAATTTTGTATCACATGCAATGCTTCCAACACAGAGAGAAAAGCAATCTTGTATCTATTTCTATGAGAAGCAATGATCAATAATTACCATATTTAAGCACCCGAATGCCTCAAAGTAAAATGGCCCCTCTCTCTGTTGAAGAAGTATCCTTAGATTGGTCTTTAAGGGTGCTGGGCTCAGAGAGTGAGGACCTATTGGTGATTTGAACGACTTTTAAAAAATGCCCCACACGTAGACGGTAAATTTAAGGAAGGTGAAAAACGAGTTTGAGTAATAATAGTTAACTGACATAAATTCTCTCTGCAGCTTCAATTAGAAGCCGTAACATTTCTCTTCATTTTATAGTGTGTGTGTTTGTGAGCTGTTAACCAGCTGCCAGGCTTCAGCCCAGCAGTGAGGGCCTATTAGCGATGGCTGAAATAATTCCCCGTTATTTATGGGTTATTGCCATGTTTCCAAGCTTGCATTCCCATATGGTCTGAACCTATTACAACAATTAGATAGGCTTTATAAAGAGCTCACACACTGATACACCTATTTGCTTTCTGCCTGTCTTAATGCGGAGTCCATATGCCCAGGTTGCGGGCTGTGCTGAATATGCATGGCGCATTGTTTTTAAGAGGGCACCTTTAAAAGAAGGTGTGGTACTAACCTTCACGCGTGCTATTATAGCCTCGTGACTGTATGCATTACAGTGTCTACAGTGTCTGGATTGGGTTTGCCCATCACTTCAAGATTCTCGCTGTGTTTCCACATGTACCTTTGTCAGGAACTAAACCTGTTAATGCTAACAATTAACCAGATAATTACTTTGCCACCCTTGCCCGCTGCACAACGCCCTTTGAAAGTGTAATTCAGAACTGAATTGTGCAGTTAGAGGTGTGTTTCAAGACAGCACCAATGTCCCCAAGTAGTGGTAACAGGTTGCGTTCTTGGGGCAGGTGAAGTGTACCAGGCAGAAGCATGACACGTAGCTTATGAAGAGAAAAAATGAAGAATAAGATCCATGTGATGGTGTTGGTATTCCCTTCCACACATTTATTTGTGGGTCTGTACAGTGATTGAGTATGCCCCCTTTTGAACCAATTCTGTCCCTTCTCTGAAAATGCTAGGATTTACAGCTAAACTGTGTGCACTGCTGTGAATGAAAAATCACCGCAATAATTAGACCTCAAGGTCTTCCATCGATAGGTCGCCAAAGCAATGACTGATCATTTCAGCGTTCTTCTTCATTTTTCTCTCTGTCCCACAGGGTGCCCTGACAATCTCAGCGCTTCCCAATGCTTAAATCCTATTAAGGCTTTCCAAGGCTGCATGAGACTCATCTTTATTGATAACCAGCCCAAGGACCTCATTTCAGTTCAGCAAGGTTCCCTGGGGAATTTTAGTGATTTACACATTGATCTGTGTAGCATCAAAGACAGGTAATTATTGTCTCTTCTCTGTTCTCTCACCCTCTTCCATTCTCGCTGTTCTAAATATGCATTTCTTTAAGCAAAATTCTAATCCACTGACATTAGCCACATTAGGCATAATGGAGTCGCCTAATGGAAAATATTTCTGAAAGGATTGCAGACCCAGAGAAAAATGGTTTAAATTAGTTAAGTCTCACTTCATGTTGACTTGCAGTAAATGGGATATGCAAATTAAATCAAACTACAAATTTGTGAAGGGATTAAAATTTTGTGCATAAACACCATTTGATTACTTTAAATTTAAGAGTAAAGCAAAAAGGAGGGAGGAATCACTTTTCTCCTAAAACCTTTCATTCTTCAGAGTAGTGAGTGCCCTCTCTCACCCGGGGGACGAGCAGCGGGCCCGCCGAGACCCCTAGAGGAGGGGGTTGGGCAGCATCCCACTTACACACACTTCTGAGTGCCTGGCTTTTGCTGTCACTGTCTCTGAGCCATTTCTTCTTCAGCCAGACGTGACTAGACGCTGGACAGAAAGAATCAACATAGTCACTCTGCAACCTGCAAATCTGGTAGAGGATCAGTGTCTCTTTTTGTTTCCCCTGAGGTCTGACTCCTCTTATATTGGAAGTTTCTAGGTTCAAGGATGCACCGCAGAACATTAACAGAGATTGACTCTGAATGTTCGCCATGTTCATCACGATTCCCATGTTTCTCCTCTAGCACTTGCCTCCTCCATATCTCTGCCTCCACTCGCCCTCACTGAAATGCGCTCTTACATGGGTGAACACTACACGTAAGACGAAAGCCTATGCATTGTGGGTCTTTCCTCAGTTTCCATCAGGGAATAAATCAGCCAGTGAAATGGAGTCCAATAACTAGCCAAGAAGTGTTTATTCTATTTTATTTACTTAGGACACATGGCAGCAGTAACTTGGTCTGGCCCGAGACAATGAGGTCAGTGAAGTTTTCAGGAAGTGGTGCCCCAGCTGAATCCTGTAGGACAGAGACACCTGGTGGGGTGGGGCCAGATGAGCAGACGGGATGCAGCATGTGAACTGGCGTAGACACAGGGAGGGTCTTGCTTGCAAGTGTTTCATCAGTTCAAGACACCTATCTTTCACCTTAACATATGCACAGTTTGGATACATTTTAGAGTTGATGGTAGTCATTGAATTGGCAACACTGACTTATCTCATTGGCATATAAAATTGTGATATGTCTTCTAATTAATAGTATCTTAGATTGTACAGAATGCTGCTCCGTGCAGATGGCAGGTCACTGTAGTGGGGTGCAGGCCAGGCCAGGGCTGGAGACTGGGCAGTACTGACATGGAGAACACTGATTGGCCGTAGGGGTTGTCTTCATGCTCTAGGTCAACACTAGAAAGAAAGCAGTCAGATCTGCCTACGGAGAGGGTACTCGGGAAACAGTATGACGGCTGGATTGAAGGAGAGCCAGCCACCCCAGACGCCGAGGTGACTGTCCCAGTGCAGGGAGCCGTGAGGAGCAGAAGGTCCTTCTAGTGCGCGGCACAGAATGCGCCACACAGATCACGCCCCTCGGACACTCAGCATGACCGTGCACTTTGGTGTAACTATGAAAATCTTTCTGTTAATCCTACAACACACGAGACGGTCAACAACTCACACAGACCCCCTGGCTCTTCTACTTTATCTTTTTTCTCCTCGACATCTGGGTAATAACAGGTGTGCCTGGCTAGGATTTGCTAGTTTAGAGACCTGAGGATAAAATACATTTCACAGAGTGCTTGCCGCACTTCTGGTCTTTACTGATGCTGACGGTGAAGCATCCGACGTCGGCAGCCAGCACAGTCTTTGCAAAGTGCAGCTCAGTAGAGGAAACAGGTATCGGGAGGGGTCCCCTACCGTACCTCAGTTTCTAACCAAGGACGCACTCATTCCCGCTGACACGAAAGTGATTGCTATCCACACGGCATCATTACTTCTGTGCGACTGTAGTCCGTGTAATTGCATTACAGACAATTGTGTTTGGGTTAATTGTTTAATAATAAGGGATTGCGCTTACTTTTGTGGGTAAACGGTATGTTTTTCTTCATTGACCAGACGGTGTCTCTAACGGACAGGAGAGCCGTGGTTAAAGGCTCGGCTCCGCTCATTATCTCCTGAGCTTACTTTAAACACGTGTGGGAAAGGCCTGGAGAGCAGGTGGTGTCTGAGTTTTGCGGTCTGTGTTTAACGTGTTAATTAGTGTAAAGCTCATTCGAAGGCAAGCTCGGCTCTGCCGTCCAGGAACTTGCCGCTGGAGGGTGGGGCCAGGTCTGGCGGACGGGTCTGCTTTCCTCACCTGTGGTCCTATCTGGAGAGCCCGTGGCGGGCAGCTTCGGACGTGGCCTAAGAGTGTCTCCTCTCTGGGCCCCGTCTCCTCTCGGCCTGGTGTGGAGACCCAGGCCCCCGGGCCTCACAGCGGCTGCCCTGCCCCCCCCCAGAGTAACCTGACGGGCAGTGCAGAGGGACCCACACTTCCCAGCTCCCCTCCATTCTGCCATCTGACACTTGGGAAGGCTCCTGGCGGCAGTGCTGGGAAACCAGGCCTGAGAAAACCAAGGCTGCGCTCACAGAAGCCACACACGGGCTTTTACATCCTAAGAGCCTTCTCCCATGGGGGCCTTCAAGCATGCGCCCTTTGAGATGATGCCCAGCTCCGCCACCCAGCCTGGGCCAGTTCACAAACCACCCTGGGGACAGTGAATTATCCTTTGAGCAAAAGTCCCAGGGACCAAGGACCTGCACCAACAATGTGCACCTCAGTGACTGGCCTGCACAGCTCCGGCCGCAGGAAGGGCTGCTGTCGGAAGTCCATCTGCAGAGCCCCGGCGCCTCACGGTCAAGGCCAGGTTGGAGAGAAGGCCGAGAACCCTGGAGGAATCACTGCGGACACACACCTCCAGGATGCAAGGACAACTCTCTCCCTCCTCTGCGGCAGGACCTCCAATCTCATGTAGCCATGCCCCAACCCCTGTTCCCCAGGAGCTACACGTGTCTCTTGTAACCCCTTGCACTCGAGATAGACAAGACCTGTTCATCTAAATTATCAGAGCCCAGTCACCCTCGAGAAAGGCCTACTCCTCCCACAGTGTTATCACAGCCTCGGGTCAGCCTTGCATGGGCAGGGAGCGGGCGCGGGAGGCCGCCGTGTGTGCAGGGGATGGGTGGGAGGGCGGGCCAGCCATGGGTGGGGGCAGGAGAAACAACTCGCCCACGGCTGGCGAGGAACGTGAACAGGGACAGGAGCCAAGGTGGGGAGCAGCGAGGGCGCTGGGTCAGCTGTCCGACAGCAGAGGAGAGAGTCACACCTGAGGAGATTCATGAATCCCGGGGTCCACCTGTTTCCTTCCGAGTCCACTGCTCTTCCGCCTGAGATACGAGCTGTCATTTTTCACCGTTTAAGCTACGTTTTCTCTTCTGTGAAACCAAGATCATAAAACCTGCCTTTGCACGGAGCATGGGCTTGTGAGGATCAGGGGCTCCGTGGCGTGTCTGAGGAGCATGTGCACATACACGCTGCATGTTAACTCCCAGGCCACACATTTGCCAGCATGGCTTTGCGTGGGGAGAGGAGAAGCCCCGGCTCCCTCTGAAGCTCCCCAAACCCCGCCGTGACCACGCGATCCCTGGTCAGTTCTGGGGTGGATCCCACAGATGACCCTCGCCGACGATCTCTGATCCGTCTGCTGCTGACTCCCTGGGTTCCGGTCCCTGCTTGCTCAGAGGGGCTGCCCCCAGACCCATCACCACCATTAGGAGGGTGCCCGTCCGCTTGGTGCCAAGGTTGGCTGTGGACACTGGATTCTCCTGAAGTGTTGGTGCCAGGGCCCGGTTAGGGTACAGAGAGCATGACTGTGCCCAGCAATTCAAGAGGGCCCTATTTTAGACCCATGCTTGTGCAGAGTGAATTTGTATGAACCACAGAGTGACTGCCTTTTTGAATCACGTGGGTCAGTTCCAGAACCATCAGAGGAGCTTGCGAAAATCGCAGTCACTGGGTGGCACCCCCAGGGTGTCAGCTCTCACTGTGAGGGCCAAGAAAGCGCGACTTATGGCAGCGTCAGGGTGCTGCCGGTGCTGCGCTGCTGGGGACTGCCTTCCAGACCGCTGCCGCCCTCAGGCCTCCAGCCCCGCACCCCACAGGGCGGCCCCGGGGTTCTGTGCAGAGGTGCAGCCCCCCCCCCCCCCCGCGGCAGCCCTCCTGACGGGTGCCAAGGGCTCTGCGGAGTTCCCACAGCTCCGTCTCAACGCCCCCCCCCGAGAGGTGCTGAATTCTGTCCATGGGACACTGGGGAGCCAGCTGAATCCCACCTCCCTCCAGACATTCCTGGGCTTTGTCACTGGAGTCCCCCTGCCTCCCACTCTGGGAAAACGGGGTGAATATGAATAAGCTACGGTCCTGAGGTGCCTGAGAAAGGATGCTTGGGTTGGAAGGGAGTCTGCTCTCAGAATAGCTGCCGTCAAACATGACTTGTCTTTTTGTTATTTTGAGGACAGTTGACTTTCTGGCCCAGGGGACGTCCCAGCGTGCTCGTCCTTGGAGCCGAGCCTCACCCTGTGTGAGGGGGGCGCGCGGTAAGGCGAGTGCCCCGCCGAAGGGCCGCCGGAGACGGTTTCCTCTGGCATCCAGAACCTGCAAAGGGCTGCCGGACCCCCGTGTCCTTCCGGTGTCCTTCCCTCGGAGGAATGACACCCACCGGGGAGGACCTCGGAGTCACCGGGCTCTGCCCGGCTCGGCGGCGCTGTCCTTGGCCACCGTCTGCTCTGACCCTCCCCAAACCAGGCCGGCCGCTTGCCTCAGCTGCATTCAGTCCTTCGCAGCAGCAACGGTGACGCGTGGCCTCTACTGCGGACCGTGGCCCTTTCCACACAATCCTTCCTCCAAGGGAAGCAGCAGCTCCGCTCACTGGTCAAGACTCCGACCTGCTTGGTTCAGACTCGGGGTGTTGTCAACACCGAGGGGAAAGTGTTCCGTGGGATGTC